AAGTAATTGGTGTATGATGGTGGACGCTTAGTACACTTTTCGCGTGCACTCGCACGTATCATCACAATCATTGGTGGACTGCAATTTGAAAAGGCGTAAGAGTATAGGTTGTATAGTACACGCATGCAGTCGCTTATGGATAAATAAATATGGACAACTCTGTAGAACAACGCTCGAGGTAAGCGGGACAATGATGATTAAGGGGCGGCGCGCGAATTTCCACACGTATAGCATTACTAACAACTTTTAATACACCATTAGAAGGCTGTGTAAAGCTGTTAGGAATGAGCCCTTTAAGCAAAGCACCGTATGATTATTATCTCAATTATTTCATCGTTAGACAACGTTATTATTAATTCAGATTTCATTTCAGAGGGATAAAACAAATATAAGCCCAGCAACTATGTATATAAATGTAGGCGCTTACCATAAGATATAATTAATTAATTGTCGACATTTATAATCTATCCCCATACGTTTGGGTGCAAAATTATTATTATTTTTATATATCTCTCGACGATTATCAGAGCGCTGTAAATTATCAAATCGAGATGCGTCGAACTAAAAGCTTTAAAGATTCTCGATGATCTCTGATAGATTCAAGTATTGGCGTGGATGCGAGCAGCACGTGCGAGCAGCGCATGCGGTAACGCCACCCCTGTTAATCAGTGCAGATAATTGAAACCGAGAGCTGCTGAGATCCACCGCAGCGACTTAACTCGATTCAAGCAATGCGCTTAATTGTACGCCTTTCTTTCTCTCTCTCTCTCTCTCTCTCTCTCTCTCTCTCTCTCTCTATTTTAATTTCATTTTCCCGTACTTCTTACTTCTTTCTCGAGTGCATGTGCATGCGGATAAGATAACGAAGGCCATATATGTGCAAGCTACGGAATTCGCATTTATTGTCGCGTGCACGTGGTAACTTCGATGAAGTAAAGACGCTTAAAAAGTCACGATCGTTCGCGGAACTTTACCGATTTCTTTGCTCACCAATGCTGTATAGGACGGCACTAATGCGATTCCCTTCAAGTGACGCTTCAATCAAGTCTTCATCAACTTTTGTGTCCTTACTGAAATGCTAGCCGTTATTGGGTCGTTTAACGACAGATACAATTAATTCATACTAAGCTAATAAAAATATCATCTTCTTCGGTGTATAAAATAATGTTCGCTTTCCAACCTCTAACCATATTTATACCGTATCATATGATTTATGCTTCAATTAATTTTAATTCACGAGATATTAATATTATTTCCTTTAACGACAATTAGAATAAAAAATAATAATGAAATTAGCAATTTTAGAATCTTTGGAATTGAAAAGAGAAAACATTGTTACGCCACATTGGTGAATGTCAGTTTTTAAATAATATTGCCTTCGATTCCGACAAATTACATTCAATATTGTTCGTTATTTTAAGTTTTTCAATTTTAAAATATATAGACATTTGATGTTTTTGTGTGAAGATGTTACATTTTTTTTTTTTTTTAAGCATTGAATTTATATTTGGCATTGATAAAATAAAGGATAATTTATATAATTATCGATTATAAATATTGTGTTAAACTTTTCATGAAAACTAAATAATTAAAAATTTAAGTGCAGCACAGTCGACCATTGAGTAAAGCAGCTTACAACACAAATTTAGTAAAACAAAGTATTTATAAGGCATTATAATTACACGATTCTTAAGCTATTCATTGAAGTTTATGATTTTTGAGCGAAGCAATGTATAAATGTTAAATTTTACAGAATCTCGATACCGTAGATATAAAAATTCATTGCCTATCCCAATGAAAATGAAGGTATCGGTTCTTGGCGTCAAATTAAATAAGCCTTAAATCAATTGTCTCTTATATCAAAAATCAAACTCTTATATCTTAAATCAAAATGGAAGGAATAGGGAGGATAAATAAAGTAAGCTGTGCGCCAAATATGCCGCCAATATAGAGGAGTGGGAGATTTGGCACTAGAACTGTCCCTGAAAGTCCCCGTCAATTCTCGTCTCGACAGTCGGCAGACAGCTAAACGAGACGAGATGAGACGCTTCTCTCTCCCTCCCTCTCTCTCTCTCTCTCTCTCTCTCTCTCTCTGAGTGAAGTGACAAGTGGCACTTTTCGAATTTAGCGGGCACTCGTGCCGATTTGATTTTAATGGCATGAGCAAAACTCGAGAACATCTCAATTGTTGCAATTTTCTTCTCCTCTCGCATTAATGCATTTACTTTCGCATTCCTAGCTCTCTTTTATTATCTATTTTTTGCCGAGTCATAAATTTGTCAGAACTTTGATTCCCGTGCGGCTGTTGTTTTCATGCCCCGTGACTGCATGGAATTTAATTGTCCAATAAATCAGACATAATTTAGCAATGATTTCAGTGTCAAGCCGGATAATCATTTTTATTTTTTGCTGCTCCTTCGTGCTGGACTCTCTATCTAGATATCTCACTTACGTCATTCGCTAAGTTCATCTTAATTGAACGAAATTTTGCCGAATTCACGAGAGCATCGTCAATCCTATCTAACTCTAAAATCGCAAATCTCCCATAACTCTTGCGCGTTTTTAACATAGTTTAGTAACATCTTCATATTTCAGGAATTCTTAATGCGTTTCTCGTCATTATCGTCATTTTTTTTTTTTTTTAATGCAAAATTTTTTACGTTTTAATAATATAACACTTGTGAGTGCGTAAATGCAAACTACTAATTTAGGGACGAATGAATCAAAATCAAAAGATGGCGTATAAAACAACATGTATTTGAAAAGGCAAACGGGTTCTAGCAAACAGATCCTTGGCATCTTAGGTACGTGCTCCCCTCACCGACGCATTAATAAGAATGCAACGGTTCGCAAAGCGAAATTTAAACAATTTTCGAGAGTTTAATAAGACAATTCGTCTCTTTAGCATTAATAATGTATGTATATATATATATATATATATATATAAATAATATTATCGTTATTTAAAAGCAGTGGGAGGTATGGTAATGGAAAATCCTAAATATTAATATGTTGGGTATTGATATAAGAAGAACATTGTTATTGCCTTCAAATGTTCGAAATGGTTTGCTGAATAACCAAGCCGAATGCGATGGTACGACTTTAAAATGGGAAAATTGTACTTAAAGAACATAGTTAATTGAAAACTAGAGTTGCTGGGTATATGGAGAAATCGTAACTTAATTTATTGATTAAATGAAAGTGCGAAGAGGCCGAGTAAATCAACGAAGTGTTAAGTGCAAAACGATCGTTTCGGGTAAAAATCAGCACTAACCGGTGGCAGAGGCGCCTCGAACCAGACAGCAAATAGCGGCTACAACAACAAGAACAGCGGCCACGAGACACTCGGCTCGGGGACTCCGCGCCATCCCGGTCACATCGGGCCCCACAAGTCCCCGTCTCCTGCCCATCTTCTTGGCTTGCACTCGCGCACCCACTCACACTTCTCCAAATTTCAATCTCACTGGGCCTCGCGTCCCTAGCCCGGATATTGGCTTCTCCTCGTTGCCGCGCACCTCCAGCCCCAAGTAAACGCGATTGTTTGTCCAGGGCTTCAGGGGGCAGAGCTCACATAAAGGAGGGCCGACGCGTCGATCGTCGGAGCCCCTGTGCGCCCGGGCCGCGGTAGACGGCGCATCCTCGCTCCTCTCGGCTCCTTTCCATTGTCAAGCACTGGGATAAGCGCCAAGCACGACTTCGGCTTGTCGATCTCTCAGGAAGCTCAGGATTCTCCGAGATCAAGGATACGATCACCGCGATCCACCTGGGCTCGCGGAGGTCTCCCTCCTGCCACACTTACCAGCGGCTGCTACAACCACCCCCCTCGGCATTTGATCGGAGCACCCGGGTCCTCGTGCCCTTCTGCCCCGGTAGGCCAAGCTAAGCGCGATCGTGCACCTCGGCTCGATCTTACCTGGCGCTGGCTAACAAAGGTGCGCACTGGCGCTGCGCGTAACGAAGCTGCCACTGGCGCACAGGTAAAGGGAAAGGTGAGAGGACCGAGCGCCCACCTGGTGGAGCCTGGCAGCCTCGCGAGCAGCCACGACGCCCGTTCGAGCTCGCGATCCAAACTCACCACCACCACCGGTCTCGATGCGCGATTCTATAAAATCGCGATCCACACGGCGATCGCGAAGCAAAGAAGCTGCTGCTGCTGCTCGGCTTAGCCGATTTAGCGGACGTCGCTGACGATCGGCGCGATGGCCTCGCGCGTATTATGCCAGTCCCGTGCGCTCGTATGTCACGACGGTTGGCGCGGAGCGCCTCGAGCCGCCTGTGGAATGCAACGGACAAAATCGGACCTGCGCGCATGACCGGACGCAAGCCAGGCAGCGCTCCCAGCCAATCCTCGACTTTTGTTTGGGGGCGAGCGGTGCCGCCGAGTGGGGCTGGTAACCTGACCGTCAGCCCCATCCAACGCTCGCACGCGAGTTAACGTTGACACGATTTACCGTGGCTCGAGGAGGATGGATACCACTTTCGTGTTTAGTCGCTGATGGTGATCAGGCCAAACATTGCGCTATTCAGGTGCTCTCGCATTTGCGCCATCTACAAATTTCATTCAAATCACTCCGTCGATTTTATAATTTTCCACCTAAATTATCGAGCATGTCAAATGCTTTTTGCTTCCCGTCGGAAGACACTAGGTCCGAAATTTGAAAATCTTGACATATTGATTTATCGATGTGTGAAGTACATTGAATTTCAGAAATTAAACTAAACGATTCTCCCATGATAATGCACTAATATTCTTACAATTTAGCACACATATTTAATATTGCCCAATTACCCTCTTAATAAAGAAATAAAGAATACTAAAAATAGAAAAGAAAAAACGAAATATTCATTACTTGAATTTGAAAAATTTATTATTGTTTCTTTAGTTATTATGTTTATTAATAAATAACTTGCATTGCTTTGCATCAAATCAATAATGTGCATAAATTACATATCATGATTATCGACTCGGAATGAGTACGTGGTTTTAAAAATTAAAAACATTCTTGTTGCATTGACGTTTATTCAGGCTGCATTTAACACCTTAAATGCCAATACTATTTTCCTTGTTTTTATTATTTTTTTTATTTTTTTTTTAATTACAAAATAAACTTAAAAGAAGAATCCAAGGATTTTTCCTCCTAAATGTTTTCTCCTTGCTTCTTCATGGTCCATAATACCACCACTGGTAGTTAATACGACATATCTATATTCGACAGAACGATTGAAATACATTCATCCATTTATATATTGGCAATTGGAAATAATAATAATAATTCATCAACTTACCCAAACTGACGACTGGGAAGAAGATTATTTGTCCACTTTTCGATATCTGTAATAGGGACATCGAATCTTGGTGAAATAACTCCACATTTGTTTAACCTTCCTGTAAGGTTTACTACAACCTTTCCGCTTCTGTGATCATCCACAATTTCGAATTCCCCAATGTAACCTATATTTAACGATGTTAAATGAACAAAATATAAGCAACAACATAAATAATATAAATATACAATTTAGATTCTATTTAATTACTTCAAAATTGGCAGCAATAATACATTATTCCAATATTTTATCCTCAAAAAATGTTGTCTCTCAATAATTAATGAAAGTAGAGTAACAATAATTTCTTTTCAATTTAACATAATATTGAAAGTTTTATTTTATTATCTACGTATATACGTTAAGATACAAAATTTATATTTTATAAATAATACACTATAAATTATAAATTTCTATTAATATATATATATATAATTCCAAATATGACTATCGCACTTTATAAGAAAATACAAAAGCTAAGTAATAAACAATTATTTAATATTAACTTAACACATACCCAGCGAAATTCATTATTCAAAGATTAATGAATTAATAATCACTTATTATAATGGGTCTTAATTAATCAGAACAAGATTACTAATTGCAGCTAATTATCGCAAACTTTAATTTACAATTGTTTTAATAATTATAAATTTCTATTACACAGGATTCATAAATATAAAAAATATTAATTTATAATATCAAAATTACATTATCCAAAAAAAAAAAACACTATCTCTCATTTAGCCATTTAACAGTTATTAAGATGAAATTGTTATATTTGTTTGGAAAACTTACCATGCTTCATCATTACTGTCAGAAATTTAATAATCACTTTTGAACAAGGGCGAAGGAGAACCTGCCTCTTGCCCCTTTTCTCAGCATTATTAATAGACTTGAGAGCATCGCTCAATACATTCATACGCACCATGGCTATGAAAATAATTGTAATTAGTAATATGATATAAGCAACACTTTATCAATATAATTATTTAAGAGGATTAAAATAAATTTTAAATTAAATTAAAAACACATACTCTACAATCAAGCTGTTTAAAAATAAATAAAAAATCTATTAACAGTGTATTATATATTGCTGAAAAACAATTGTACTTAATGATATATATTATAATTAAATTTAAGAAAATAAATATGTCAACAAATGCAAAATATAGGCATCTTGTAACTGCTATATACTATATAAGCTTTAACCTCAATATTTTAGCAATCACCATCATCAAGTAAACATTATTCTTAAAAAATAAATATTTCACTGTATAACTAACAAACTAAAATATCAATAATTACGATAAACTTCATTCTTTAAATGTTGATTTTATAGATTACCTGCGATTTAAAATGTATTTATTACAGGGTTATACACGCCAGATTATGCCCGAAGTAAAAGAAAATCCATTGAATTTTTAGTGCTTTCGTGGTCATAATCTACTTTATCGAGAAGGTAAGTGGACATGCGCAAATCAACTTTCGATGTACTGGAAGACTTTTGGGGCGCATTACAAATTTAAGACTAGAAAAAATGATTAAAAAAAATGTTAATACATCTAAATAAATTTTTTTAATGAATTTATTAACAATTTATTGTTAATGATGAAAATGTAATTATTAATTATTTGTAATTAATTTGTTGATTTTGGTAATATTTGATTCTGCTCACCAACTTTACTTAGGTAATTTATAATAATTTACCAAAGCTTGTAGACGAATTGCTGTTAATATAAAATAAATTTTTTACTAATTAATCGATTCGATTGAATTTTTTTATAATATTCTATTCTACAATGTTTAAGCACGCCAAACTATGCTCGATCGATAAACTCAGTTTACTATATAAATTATAGGTACACTGATTGAATGAATAATCAGCACTGTAATTATTCTCATACAGCCAATTAAGATAAATTTTAACTTTGAAAAAATATATACATAACGAAATATTTTGTAATTGAACGACTTTTAAAACTTTTACTTAATTCAATTACAAATTAAATAAAATTTAAAAGCCATTGTAAGGAGATATTGATATAATAATAAAAGATACAGAAAAAATTTTTCTATTAATAAACTTTGTACAATATATATTGTTTGTATATTATAGTCATTACAATTGGCGTTAGCAATCATTAAAAATGGAATATTTTACACGATTTTCATAAGTATATGCATTAAAAATATATTTAATGAACCAAAATTATGATAAATAAGTGCATCTGTTTTTAATTAATAAAAAATATCATTAATGATAGTTAATCATTTATCAATATGTAATTATACTTCATTATAGGAATTGTCATAGGGAATCGAAAGTTCTTATGACATTAGTGTTCTTTTCTTTTGAATTCCCTTTCAGCGGCTTCTTGGATTGTAAAATGTTATTTAATTTGATGAGGCAATTAAATGAATGATATATCGATTATTTCATTGGATTGTAAATGGTATAAAAATTCAAAAAAGCTTTTTGAAAGCTTGCACTTTGTAAAATAAGTATTATCGGATAAAATACAATATGAAGAACTCTTACTTCAAAGTCCCAAGTACTTGTATATCCAAGTTTGATGTTACGTCACACGCCACAGGTTTGAACATCCGTTCATCCTACGCAGTACTGAAAGTAGCTTAAGCTTGTTGTTGACGAAATGGCAAAAATGTACAAAAAAACACTAAACCAAATTGTCATTAAATTAGATACATAAATAATTTTCTTCAAATCACCTTCACTTTTTATATAATTAATCAATGATAATTTTGATATACGCTAATTTATATTTATAAGCAATAAACTGTGACATTTCTTTTTTTTTTTATTTATTTTTTTTTTTTATTTTTTCCATCTTTGTGCCATTTTTTTCCAACTATTTTTCAATTATCAACATAGTAAGATTAATAATAAAAGAAGCCATGCATCGAATCATGTTCCAATAAGTTATTTACAATTAATCAAAAATATTGCTTCATACGTAAAATTTATAAATAGATTTATAGAAACTCATTGATGACGTTATACATATAAATAATTCATACACAGTACTAGACATATTATATCATGACTTTCCTAAATACATATTGATAACAAACTAAACAAGAAACTAAAAACTCATATACTTATCATTTTAGTATAGTATCATCTTGAATGTTTAAAAGTATCAACAAATTTATTTTTAATTTAATTTTTTTTTATGATAAATCATAACAAAATATAAAGATATTGTTGTCGTTTTTTATCTTTATGTCATATCAAATTCCATATTTTAAAGTGTTAGTTCGAATAAAACTACGACAAAGCAACGTAATGATAGGGCAGTTCTCAGTGCATAAAAACAAAGTCGAGGAAACGACTGGATAATGATCCATTGATGAGAGCTTTCAAAAGATCCTAATGTGTGGACAGTATGATCAAGATAGTGGTTGGTTACTATACCATCAAAGAGGAAAATCGAAAAATCTTTTGGCTAAAAATTCTACCAATCGTATATACATGTATGTTTAAAAGACGAATAAGGTAATTTTTTATAGACAATAAATTTTATCAAGAATAATCGGTCAATTTCTGAGACTATCGTGATTGTGAAGCATCATCTTTATAGAGATATTTTATATATATATATATATATATATATATATATATATATATATATATATATGTTATGCCTGTTCACCAGATGCTTGTATTCGTTCTAATAGATAATACCGATTACTTATTCTTATTTAAATAATCTTTTCATCATTTGCTGAATATACCTATAATAAATCTTGAGAAGACCGTAGTTGGATAGTAATCATCCCTTTTGTAGTCTAAGAGTTCAGCATTCTGCATTAAATTTACTTTATTATACAAAAATATATAAGTTAACTGTATATTATATTTATAAAAATGCCTGACATTTTAAAAAATACTTGGACCAGCTCATTTATCATCATTCATATTATTATTTATAAATATAAGATCTATAAAACATATACAACTGAAGAAAATTTATACATACAAAGAAGATTAAAGATAGTAGTGAACAATCATAAAAAACCATAATTAAAACTGTAATTAACATAGTCAATATTGGTATTTGAAATGTAACTTGCTTACCATTACCGAGTGTAAATTATTAAAACTTCGAAATAAAACAGAAATCTTAATTTATAGAAATTTTTGATTTACATATAATCAAAATATTCACTTTTAATTTACTTTTACAAACATTAATATTCTCAACAATTAATTAGATATATTTAGACACTTAAAATTAGACATAATTAGACATAAAATTCGAATGTTAATAATTTATCTAAAGTGCAAATAAGTGAAGAAATATAAAATTGCAAATTATCACCTTGAAAAACATAATAAAAGTGTTTTGATTTGTATAAGAATGCTTTTCTGTTTCCATTTTAAATTCTTTTATTTTATGACTCAACAATCCACAATGTACAATCATTTTACTTGCTAATCATTTCTATTGATTATTGTAAGTATTCGTTAAAGGATAACTTGTAAAGAAAGACAAAGAAGTGATACATTTTGTGCACACTAGGGAAGTTCTGTATTTATTAAAAATTAAAAATTATATGTATAATAACGAATTTTAATGAAATAAACTAATATAAAAAGAAAATCAATTTTTAGTCTTCACAAATACAATAAAAAATGGGTTTCCAAACTAAATTAAATTAGAAATAAATTTTTTCATTAATAATTAAGTTTTTCTATAATATATCTATCTATAATATATTATATTAATCTAATATTAATATATCTTATATATATATATATATAGATCTTATATACATTTGACGTTTAAAACAAACTAGAAATATTAAAAATACATTATTTATCATAGAATCGATAAATTCTGAAATAAATAATATATATAATATGAATATATTAATGTTATACACTATTAATAACGTAAATAATTATATCATAATTTCCATTATTAAATGTAAAATGAATTTAATTAAATCTTTAATAAATACTAATGCATATAAAAAAATTAGCTTTAAATTTTATAAATCAGATCATATTGAAGTTGATATTTATATAAAATTTTATCTCTATGAAAATTAAAGTAAAATCTAGGGTCAAAATATTATTAGTTATCATTAAAATTGTGTAATGGTAAAATAAAATGTACATAAATTGCGTATATGAATAACTAAACATTAAATTACAAAGTAATTTAAGATCAGGTAAAAGAAATAATACATTTTTATTCAAATAGTTTAATTATTTTTATAATCAATTTTTCTATTTCATTATTCGTCGCTTTAAGTATTATTAATTATATCAAATTTAATTTATGTCAAATTATTTTCTTATAATTAAAATAGAAAATTCTGTAATTTAGCATCTATTGAAATAATTTCACATAAATACTATATATTACTTGTAAACGAAGATAAAAATATAAAAGTGCTTACAGAAATAAACAAAATCGTCTCCACGTATTTCTAGACAAGACTGAAAATTTATCTAATATATTGAAAAATATTTAATATATTTTAAAGACACCTTAAGAATAAAGAATAAAAATAAATCTTATAATTAATTGATAACACTGAATTTGAGTTAGATAAGTCCAAATTTATATATTTTTGATATAGATTATCATAATTCTTATAATACTACAAAATATCTGTGGTAATAGAAGCTACACGTGGACATATATTTTTCTGGAAATAACATTTATGTTATTAATAATAGTTATTAATAATGTGGACAGGGATTGAAAATGTTAAAATTCATATAAGCACGTTAATAAAATCTGTAGACAATGTTTAAAGATTTAGGCAATGATTTAAATTATGCTATGCTCGCTATATAATATTAATTTAAAATATGTAGTTGCTGAACGGAAACCATGGAGGTTCAGAGAATTGGTACCAGATTGGGGTATTCATTGTTCTAGTTGAGTGAACTTTTCGTGATTTATGCGATATTTATGATCAGATTTGAATTAACCGGTAAATGTCCCCAGATGAAAGATAACAACATGTAAAATTATAAAAGTCTGAGAATTTTGGTCACAAGAGGTAAAACGATAACCTTTTCATAATCACCGCATATTAACCAATAAGTCCACTATATGCATCTAATACGGATTTTGATTTAAAAATTCATCACCATTACTAACATCCGAATTTTGCTTTGCATTTATAAGTTGAAAAAGATATATATATATATATATATACATTATAAAATAATACTTGTACATTAGCAATAATATTACAAGGTTATTGCTATCGAGCATTATTACATAACCGATTTTTTTCAATAGTTGCATTCGAAAAAATGCGCAACTTCTTATTAAAGTAATAAGATTATTGTTAACTTTCATAAGAATTTAGAAGAATGCCAAATAATAAATTGTTGCAAAGAATAAATATTATAGAGGCTTTTACTGGGTTAATTTTATTTAACGAAACTTAATTATAATATACAAATGAAAATCTGTTGTGAAATTTTTTGTCACTGTTCCACAGCTTAGTTGCCAATGATAAATACAATATGAAAACTCCAATTGAATAATTCTAAACTAAATATATTGTTATAGTTTGTGAACAAAAAATGTTTATATTATATGCAGATTACAGCTTGTTATTTATAATGTATAATGATTATTTTGTATAAGAGTACACTTAGAGACACATAGAAACATTACTGTATTCATCATTTAATTTCATATATATATATATATATATATACTCAAATTTTTATTTGTAAAATTAAAAAAATTTAATAAATGACTCTATAAATCAAAATTAAAATTAATATTAATAACGAAATACTATATCTGTAATTTAACTACATTAATGAATACTTAATAAATAAAGATTAAGCTATTCTTTCTATATATGTATTTGTCGGTATGTCTTTAATCTCATTTTATTTAGAAATTAGCTATTGACTTCGGTATCATTTAATTTATTTTTATTTTATATTTATGTAAATAAGCTAATCTTCGACAATTTTACAAGTCCAGATAGCGCACAGTCAGTCCTAATTAAATAAAACAGTGCATAATTTTGTAAATTCTTTGTTCAATTTACCTTTTATTTACCTTGTATATATACATATTCCATGCGCCTGTGTTTGTGTGTGGGTGTCTGTCTGTCTGTCTGTCTGTCTGTCTGTCTCTCTCTCTCTCTCTCTCTCTCTCTGTGTGTGTGTGTGTGTGTGTGGGCGTATATATGCGTGTGTGTTCTAAAAAATTCATAAAATGGGGATTACAATTGATAGACAATGTTTAAATTTACCTACAATTGTAGGTGCATATGAGTTTTTCATTCATCTTTCTAAAAGAAATTTATTTTAAATAATTTGCTAAAGTAACTAAATTTGTATTTGTAACGTCAACAAAATTTTTTTTAAAACTTTAATTAATAATATGTATATTTATATTAAATATTATATGCTGTTTAAAAACCGAAATAATAATACGTAATTCTTTACAAGCCTTAGAAATAAGTATTAATATTAAAATTTTAATTTAGATTGTTTATATAGAAATGCTGCAAACGAGTCCGTAATATATATATATATATATATATATATATATATGAATGCAATAGGTATATTCCAATTTTATGTACTGTACTTGATCAATTTTTAACAAGCAATTTGCAAAAAATAAAATAAAATTTTTTGTATAATTGTCGTTAAGGAGAAAATAAATTATATTTCCGGCAATTGAATATTTACTTTAATAAAAAATTTTGTTGTAATCGTGTTAAACGAAAACATTATTAGACGATTATATTACATTGTTCGACAAACGTATAACTAGAGAATTAAAAAATCACATATTTAAAAAAATCAAGTACATTATATTAAAAGAACCTCAAATTAGATTAGCGATTCAGGCACTCACTTATGCCAAAAATAATAAACTGTGTATGGATAATTATTTTATGGAAATTATGTTACATAGAAGATTTTCAGATAAAAATAATAGCACATTCATAATTTAAAAGCAATTTATTTTGTTTTATAAGGAGAAAATAATAATAGAAGAGCTGAAATTCAACCGATGACAGCAATAGCTAAGCAACAAGTAAATAAAAATTTGTAAAATAATATAGTTGAAATAGTTTATTTTTAAAAAATTCTAAAGTACGTTAAACATATTAGCATAAGCAATTGGATATTGTGAGAATTTATTTTGCAAATTTATATATTGCGCTCTAAAAGCGAAAGTCTTTTTTTTATGAAAAATTGTGTTATGTTAATAATTTAGTTGCTTCTCTTTAGATTGTTGCTTCCTTATTCATCATTGCCAATTTGACAACATTTAATCTTTATTAATAACTATCGCTATAATGAAATATATTGTAATAAATATATCGTAAGGATAATGTTAATCTCAAAGATGAACGTAGTAGTAGTAGTTGGTGTTTACGTAGAAATTCCATGTTTTTGTATTTGCGCTTAAAAAGACTTAAAAAGGTGGATCTTATAATTCTAACTACAGCCGACTAGATTTTAATTAAAATTATCACACCTCCTGTCTCGAAATTTGTACTTGGTTTTCATTTCTTGCACTCTTGTCACATTATCATCCAAGATTTAATTACTCCGCGATACATCGCGGCTTCATAAAAAATTAATTTCATCGGTCAGAAAAGCATTGATTTTCGTCGTCAACTGCCCGTGTTTACCAAAAGACAGTGGTGAAGAAAAAAAAAATTGTATGCCTAAGGACTGTAAAAGAGAGAAGAGCACAGTAGATAAATGATTAAAGTGTTGCAAAAGGAAGGAAGGAAGGAAGGAAGGAAGGAAGGAACGAAGGAAGGAAGGAAGGAAGGAAGGAAGGACGGAAGAAAGAAAGGAAGGAAGGAAGGAAGGAAGGAAGGACGGAAGAAAGAAAGGAAGGAAGGAAGGAAGGAAGGAAGGACGGAAGAAAGAAAGGAAGGAAGGAAGGAAGGAAGGAAGGACGGAAGAAAGAAAGGAAGGAAGGAAGGAAGGAAGGAAGGACGGAAGAAAGAAAGGAAGGAAGGAAGGAAGGAAGGAAGGACGGAAGAAAGAAAGGAAGGAAGGAAGGAAGGAAGGAAGGACGGAAGAAAGAAAGGAAGGAAGGAAGGAAGGAAGGAAGGATAGAAGGAAGGGAAGGCGATTTAGTAAATAGACATTCGTTAGCGACTACTATGATCAGTTACTATAACGCGGCAGAGCAATTCTACTAATGGACGGCCAAGCAGCAGATAGATCGAGAAGGTCCGGCTACGTCTATGTATAGACTCGGGCAGCTCCTGTAGCGATAGCTTAAACCATGGGCTGCGATGGCCTATCGCGAGCCCCTGGCACACGATACCAATGACGGAACATAACAAGATCTATTGTCGAGTCGCTCCGGAGGCTGACGAACGAGAGCGGCCCGCGTGTCTATCTTTCCCGATACCCGCTCGCCCCTTAAGCAAGCACACGAGCGGCTGAAGGAAGCCCGCGAATCGAGCGCGATCCCGTGCCCGAAGGCCGCGAGCCTCGCACGGGCTCTCCCACACCGATGCGCCCACTATTCGCTCGTACACTTCCGAGGGCTTTTGACGCGGTCGTTCCCCCACCCCTCGTCTCGTCAAACAACACTTATCCGGCGGTGATATTATTCCCTGTCGACGCTTTCTCTTCTCTTTAATCGGGACCGAGTCCCAGATTAAGAGCTAATGGCTGATGGTCATAAATTCGCCATTAGCCGCCTCGATCGTAACGATTATATCACGGGCTGACCTTGTAGAATTCCTGGCCGAGACCACTGAGCGACGGTGGCAGCGGCACCAGTAGCCAACGCGGGCGCATAAGATCTAAGAGGCCTGCATTCTGAAAAAGAGAGAAGGAGCTATCGGGGCAAGAGAGATGGAAAGGTGGGTCGGTAAGACAGGCCATGACCTTGAGCCATCAGCACGGTATGACGAATTTCAAAGCGTATGGCATCTCGAGGAAAGATTCGCGACAGCGAATCGCGATCGTCCCTCGCGATTTCGAGATCGGCCAAGACTCGCCACCGGATATTATTGCCTTGCTCGTTGCTCTCTTAAAAAAAAAAATAGTCGGTGTATGCAATGGCTGCCTCGCTCGATAAAGTAGAGGCTCGCTCGCATGTACACGCACACGTATGGGCGCACACGCACGATTCTGCTAGCGAATGCCGTGCCGTCGACCGTCGACAGGCAAGCGAGAGAGTAGGAAGAGGCTAAGGAAGACACGAGCTCGAGCAGGAGAAAGACAGTGAGTAATAGAGCGCGATAGACAGGGACAGAGTGAGTAAGTGAGTGAGTGAGTGACTGAGAGAGAGAGAGAGAGAGAGAGAGAGAGAGAGGAGCAGCGCCAGAGAGGAACGAACTGAAGAGGCTCGAATCGGTCCGTGTGTCCGTGGTCGCCTCGCTCGTAGCTCCGTCAACTCTGATTTCTCGTTCTCGCAGTCGTCGTTTACATCGACGTGGAGTATTAAGTGTTGTGCATCGTTGTCGATCGTCGGCTCGGCCTTTTCTTGGTCTCGTACTCGCGCGTCGTGTCAGAAGAAATTGCGGCCGCTGCTCCATCCGCGGAGAGCTTCGAATACCAAGGCTTCGCACACCTGGCGGTTCTCACTTTTGGAAGTGTAACTCCTGGGCCAACAACGTAGACCATCTCCTACGTCGTCATCACTTTTTGCAAACGTGCGTCTGCTTTGCCCCTTTGGATCAGTGCGCGCACAGATAGACAAATATATATATATATATATATATATATATATTTATATTTATATATATGTATATGCATATGCATATATATATATAAAGAGAGAGAGAGAGAGAGAGAGTGCGTGCGCGCGTGTGTGTGTGTGTGTGTGTGTGAGTGAGTTAGTGAGTGAGTGAGAGAGAGGAGAGAGAGAGAGAGAGAGAGATAGAGAACGAGCGAGCGAGTGAGAGAGACTGTGAAAAAGGGGAAAAGAAAGAAAGAGAGAAATAGGGAGAACAGACAGAAGGCAAAGAAACAGAAAGAGCAAGGAAGATATATATATATAGGTAGGGAGCGAAAGAAAGAAAAAGAAAAAGAGAGAGAGAGAGAGAGTACGGAGTGTAAGTTAGCTAGAGAGGGTGGGAGAGGGCCAGGGAGCACATTAGAGGCGTAGCGCCAACGTCTGAACCGTCGTTGCTCTCCTCGTCATGCCGTCGATGCCGTGCACCCGAAGGACGAGGACGATCGACAATGTATATTGACATGGAGCTCGCGGAGGTTTCCCCGCTCCGCGGGCCATCGGCTTCGATCCCACGAGTCTACTAGCTTTATTACCAAAAAAGGTTCATTCACCTCTCGCTCTGTCTCTGTCCTGTGCTCGCTGATCGCCCGTTCGTTGGATCCTTTCGGAGCTCCTTGCGTCCTCGTGTCGCGCTTTGCAAGAGCAGCGACGTTAAAATCCTCGCAAGCTCACCTTACGCAAGGCGCATGACGATGGCGTCAACTTCGAGCACCTCGGCCCAGGTACTCTTGAACAAGGGCAAACGAGGCGCATCCGCCTACATCCATGCTGAGTGTAGTAATGCCGCCCTCGGATCCAGCTGTCCTCATCATCTCAACGAGTTGCTGGACATCTTGCTTATTCCCAGCAAACCTATTGATGACTGGGAGACCATTGACTGGTGTAAATGGCTCATGGCTGGTGGACGGACCCCCGATGAGTTTGCTAATACAGGTGTGCTATTATCGCTTTGTTTTATCAGAGGGGAAGTAATATTTAATCAAAAACAGTTGCGATGGCCATTGCTTTAGTAAGATTGCCCTTTAGTAACCAAGATTACACAAAATTGGATTCATTCCAAAATTTATCAATCGTTGGTATTGCTGTATTTATAACTATATTTTCTTTTATTTTAATTTCTGTTGTAATATGATCTTTACATAGCATAATTCATCAAAATTGCGCATACAAATTTAATTATTTTATCCATTGGTTGATTATCATTTGATTTTAGTGAGAGTCTACGACAATGCAACGACATGTGGTCTAGTTTGGACACCCAATTTTGTGGCGTATCGATGCCGTACCTGTGGAATTTCACCGTGTATGTCACTGTGCACCGAATGTTTTAAAAAGGGAAATCATCATAGGCATGACTTTAACATGTTTCTTAGTCAGGCTGGTGGAGCCTGTGATTGTGGCGATACTTCTGTTATGAAAGAAACAGGGTGAGAATTGGTAAATTCATAATATCTGTTTTATTTGTAAAAGTTTTTATAAGAATTTTGTATCATAGATTTTGTGACAAACATGGGCCAAAAGCTGCTGTTAATAAGTCAGCGGCACCATCTGATTTGATGTGCGTTGCCGAAGCAATAATGCCAAGGATAATATTAAGACTTATTCAACATTTAAGAGAAAACTGGTAAGACTCAATTTACTTAGTTTTTTAAGAAAATAGGCATTCTGACTATTGGTTCGATAAGAATTTCAATAATAACTTTATACACTGATTAAAATTATGTAAATGTATTGTAAATCTGAACATTAATATCTTTTTTAGAGTTTTATGGGTTCATTCTTGAAATCTAATTTTCTTGATGGAAAAATAATTTATTTCTATATTCTTTGTGAAAAATATTTAACTTTTATTAATAATTAATAACTAATTTTCATATATACTTTATTCAACGATTTTACGAAGAAGAAAGGATTGATTATCTTTCATTATAAAAAATTTTTCAAAATAATTATTTTTATTCCTTACAATAATGAGAAATATTTACTTGATCATTGATATTGAATAAACATAAAACAGATTATTATTATATATAAACATGTGCTTAATATAATGTATATATATGACAAGAGTAAGAAAAAGTATAAAGTATATAAAAAAAATCTAACCTGACTCTATATTTAAACCAGATTGTGCATTTAATATTGCATATGTGATGGATATTCACATCTACACTATTAATTATTATTGTTTTATATTCGTATTTACAATCGAGGTGCAATTTTTATCTTAACGAATAAATAATTTAATTTGATCTCTATTCGTTATAATTTAATTATCACAGTAAAGTGGGCCATCCTGACTATAAAGGTGCAATTCAGGAAGCTGATCCTTATTTAAAAATGCTGCTTGATTTAAATAATATGGGAGCTTTAATGAGATGCGTAATGACAACAGCTCTTACAAATCCTCAAAAGTATCGTGGTCTTATGGACCCTTCATGTTTTACTGGGCATTCCGAGTACGATCATTACTGTCAGGACAGTAATAAAATATATCAAGATGCAATTAAAGCTCTACCAAACCCAGAACCACCGCACGAGTACAAAGGTAAAATGTGAAAAAATAATCAATTTTATACGTGTTAAATTAATACCCTTGATATTATAATTGTACTTTATAAATATAAATGCATTACATAAATAGAAATTATATAAATTATACAAATTGAAATTGTTTGTATTAAAAATCGTAACAAGTCTTAATATTGATTACATATATATCAATGTGGATTTTTTTTTGTAGAATGCGCATCTTTACAAGAGCATTTGGAACATACAACATTTCTAGAAGAACTAGTGTTTTGGACAGTAGCTTATGAATTTCCCCAAAAACTTGTTTGCTTACTGTTGAACATGTTGCCTGACCCGGACTATAAAGAAGCGCTGACACGTGCTTTTGTTTTACACTACAGTAGGATATCAATGATGTTAGAACGTTCTACCGATCCTGATACCTTAAGCAACAGAGTCGTTCATGTCAGCGTCCAGGTAAGATTATACTAAATTTTCTTCTTTTAATTTAGGCTATATTGTTTATCAATAAATTTATAAACAAACAATCTTATTATGTACTAAATGCCTTATAAGAACTATATATATATATATATATATATATATATATATGAACAAATAGTTTTTAAACTAATTACTTACAATACGTCCATTCTTATAAACTCATGAATTATAATAAAAGAAAAATTAGAAAAGTGTATTGTAAATAGAGTTTAAAATAGCATTAATTTAAAAATCTTAAATATAAATTATGTAAAAAAAAAAGAATTCGATTCAAATATATGAAATCAATATGTCTACTTACACATGCCGATGTACCATGTGTTATCTTTGATAATTAAATCTCATATTTAATAACTACTTTCCATTTAAAAGGATCCTCCATTTAAAAGAAATCTTTATATTTTTAATCCTACTAATTAGTTAAATTTCAGTAAGAAATAATTAAGTGAATATTAAAGTATAGTTTATTCTTCTATAGTTTCGTCACCTTTTAAAAATATGTTACTTTTATGTATATTACGATCATCTTAAACTATTACTGAACAATTTTTATCATTTGTCATATCGGAAGAAAAACACATAATAATTCAGTATAAAGCTTGTGAAATGATTAAATAACATATAGTTTATAATTGTAATATGGAGGAAATTTCCTTATATATCAAAAATAAATATAAATAAATATACGAATATATATTATTCTATTAGTGTTTAGTATAATTAAAAAACAATTTATAGACTAAATTGAAAATTTGTACATAAGATAAATACCTATACTATCGACTCATTTCTTGTCAGATTATATAAACAATTTAACAGAGTGATATTGAAATTTATATATAAAATTTAATTGTTTGTAATACAAAATATTAAATAACAAATAATTTATAGACGAATTATATTTCTCCTAGGTTTATAAAATCAATTATATTCATCAAATTTTCAAATTTTGAGTTCATATGAAGTTGAAATAATAATACTTTAATATTGATAATTTATGATTTTACAAAAATATAATAATTTGTATCGATCACACATACATATATTTATACAATTGTATAAAAAATTATAAATATTAAACAATTTATTCATATTTACTTTCATATATATATATATATATATATATATATATATATATATGTGTGTGTGTGTGTGTGTGGGCTATAATAGGTTTAAAAAATTGTATGATATTGATTAATGAACTTAGCAACTGTTGAATAATATTTAGGTTAATCTTAAAATATAATTTAAAATGAACTAAACAGAAATACAAGAATGAATAAATACTTTATTTAATTGAAATTGACTGCGTACGATCATGTTAAGTTTTTTTAAGCAAACAAAATTATATATTTTATATCACTAAAATCTATCACTGCTTTTATATAAAAGTTATACTAACAACGAAATATCTATATTTTTATTCATATTTTTTGTAACAGAATACTCCTAATATTATGAAAGTAAAGTATTTTAAAATACTGCATGGCATATAAATATTAATGATTATTCATTTAAATGATACATTTATGCATATCATAATTATCATAAATTAAATTGTACGATAGCAATGTTTTTTCTTATTAGTAATTTAATTTAAGTAAATATATTACAAAAATAATTAAGTAAGAAATTGTCCTAAAATATAATTTTACTCTATTTTTACAGTCGTTTGTAGCAATAAACTATTATATAGAAAACCATTATATAGTGATATATTACAAATATTATTTGACTTTCTGCTACACATTTATTATTTTTCAATGTTTTTCATAATTCTTAATTACTTAATTACTGGAAAATATATGAGTTACTGTTTAAAATTGTTGGCTTTCATTTAATACAGAGTTTTATAATAAATATATGTATTGTAAGTAAACTTTCTTGAAAGTAATTCATATCAAATAAATTTATTACTTACATTATATATATATATATATATATATACACACACACACACACACACACACACACACATGTTTACTTATGTGTTGCATTGTATATGAAATAAATTTAGTTAAACATTTTAAAAACATGTTAGACTTATACATAATATAAATATATACTGAATAACAATATTGGAACACAATTTAATGACAAACTTTTACATAAATTTTTCTTTATTTATTTTATTTCTATTATATTGGATTATATGATATTTTCAATTAAAGCTTAAGATTCTTGTAATTAAGTAGGATTAAGTAAAAATATTTACAAAATTACGGTTCATATAGAAGAATATTATTTTATTTTGAAATTTATATTTATTGTAATTATGTGTTTCAGAATTCTCAAGTTTATTACAATGACATTTTAATAACATATAGATTCAGTATATTATAATTTATATAATAATTAATATTAGGTCATTATTTGAAATTGAAATTTAGAAAAACAATCATATAATTTGAATACTGAATTTGATTCTCTACCTTCTATGATTTTTACATGCAATGAAAAAAAAGTTTGATAAATAGAATAGGTTACTTTGATAATTACAATAATCCCTTCGTTGATTAAATTTCACCTACATTAAAATAAGCTATTATAACTTTGAATAAAATACATCTTAATCACTTTACTTCGATAAACAAATATCTTTTACAAGTGTAAATAATTATTTTAAATTGATAAATTAGATTATATTAAAAATAAATACACATTTCTTTTATACTGATAATATGTTTTGTTTTGCTATAGCTATTCAGTAACGAAAGTCTGGCAGTTAGAATGGTTGATCAATTAAAGTTACTTCATGTTATGGTGATCAGTCTAAAGTACATGATGAGCAAAATTTTGATTCAAAATACCCTTCATGGTAAATATATATTTTTTTATTTATCCATAAGTATAAAGAAATACTATTATAATTAATTGTTTATACATTTCATAGATCCAGACAAAAATTTTCATTATGTAGTCGATTGTGGTCGACAAGTGATGAAAGAGCATTGCTATTGGCCCCTCGTTTCCGATCTTAATAATGTTTTATCTCATAAACCAGTTGCCCAAAGATTCATGAATGACATTGCTTTGTTAGAAATGTGGTTTGATTTTCTATCTATGTTTCAAGGTAAGAATATCATCAATAGATTATAAGAAATAAAATTTTTAAATAACGATTTTCTTAACAGTTAAAATATTATAAGTTATAGTTTTTAAATTTAATTTCACGATGTGTTTAAGATAATTAATAATGAAATTTATATAAAACTATAAATCTGTAAATACTTTGACATTGTTTTGTAAATCATTTTCGTTTTAAACCGCTGTTATTCATTAATTTTAATTATTGATATTGATTATTGTAACCTAAAACAGATTATACCGTACTTTATAAGATTGCATTATGTTAAGTAAAATATAGGCATCGCTTTGTTTCTCACAATTTAATTACATCCTATAAATTATATGAGAGAAATACTACTGTCTGTTGTAGGTATGAATGTCAATCAAAGAGAATTGAGTCAACATGTTGAATTTGAACCGAATACGTATTATGCCGCATTTAGTGCTGAACTTGAAGCGAGTGCATATCCAATGTGGGCACTTGTTTCGCATCTTCGAGGACCTGAAAGTGCTTTACTTAGCCGTCGGGTATTAAATTTGTGTCTCACAGCGTTACAAGATTGGTTAGACGCAGTAAATTATACCCATCCAAATGTGGTAAAGTCAAAAAATTTTAAATTATCAAAGTTATAAATAATCTAAATTTTGGCTATAACAGAAGGAATATAAATCATTGTCCATATTTTTTCACTATGTTATTTAATGAATAAATGAATGTTTATTTCAATTAAATACTATTTGTACGAATGAGCTTAAAGTAAACATTAATTATAAAGTTTTTCCAGTATGTTATTAAAAAATTTTGAATTTTATTCGTTTTATTGTAAAATAGAAATGGGCAATTAATGTATTATATTTAAAGATAATATTTGGTTACAGAGTGACAGTCTTCAAGTATCATTTCATTTGCCTCTTCATCGATATTATGCCGTCTTCTTATGCCAAGCAGTGCGACAACAAGGTGCAACATTAAATGATTTGCTACCTCCCACTGATATGCTTCATTTACTCATGATGCATCCACTACGTGTCCAGGTAAGACATTTTTGCCACGTTTACTGTATCATTTTTAATGGATCAATCAATTGAGCGCAATTTAATTGCTTGCTGCTTCATTTATATATATATATATATAATATAGGAAAATGAAATAAAATATTTGTTTTTATTATAAATTTATATTGACATTAAAAAATGTTATAAACATAATTTTCTAACATTACAATAAGTTCTGAACAAATTTATAATTATTTTCTTGTTTATTAATAAAATAATAAATAAAAATATCGTTCAGAATTCATATAAGAAGATATTCTATTAATAAAAAATAATAAATGCAGTTACTGTGAGTTGTTAATAACTATACATAAATAAAGATATAATTTCTTTACTTTGTTTATAAAAGTTTTTGTCATCGAGTAGACTTGAATATAATTAATTATGAACATTAAGCACCACCTCAGTATCAAAGATTATTGTTATTCTTTGGATCGACAGTCGTCTATAGTTATATGTAGTTTATTTTTTTTTAAATATTTAATATCCTTTAAACGTTGTTTACACTGTCATCGTTCTTCGAATTAACGGGCACCGAAAGCGAACTTTCAGCATGCATGTGTGGCTCAAAGTTGTACGTAATGGCCTTGAGAGCTAAGAAGCCTCCGTAACCTTCGCGACCTTTATGGAAAATGCCAGCACCTGATAAAGGCATCGGTGGATTAGGTATGACTGGCTGTATATCTATGAAAGGTACGGTATTCTGCGCAGCATCCTTTTCTAAATCAGTAGGTTGAAATAATAAAAATTGATTTGTCTGTGAGTCAATTACCGATTGGGCCAAAGATCGCGTTGGAATATCGGGTTTGTTGAGCTGCAATTCGATTCTGCAAAACGTAATGGAAAAATAAAAAATGATATTAAAAGTTAATGATTGTGCAATAAAGTCTATTTTTTAGTTGTAAACTTACCGTTTTTTCACTTGATGTATTTCACCATTTAGACCATACATTTCGCTTGCTTCTGTATTGTCATGTGAATCCCAAAGGCTTTTTTCTGGGATAAGTTTTCCCGAAGTAAAGTTAAAAGGTGTCGTTCGAATCTCGAGATTTAAATGAGCACCAATGATTCTGAACTTAAGTCCAGTAAGTAAATGACCTTCTGGCGCATCAAGGTCATCCAAATCTATAGCTCTCTTTTCCCACATAATCGTATGATAGTCAACGTGTTCCTTGATATTTTGATCGGTAATAGAATAATTATCAGCTTCTTTCCACTCGATGGTACTGCTATTTATACCTCCATATGGAAGTAGCTTTCCCTGCTGAATCTGTATGTGAATTATTTGATTTCGTTTTATCAGTTTCATCCCTGTAACGACCCTGAAGCGAATGATGAGAAATAAAATTAATTCGTTAACAATCGACAGCGGATTTCGGAGATTAATAGAAACTTATGACTCACTTGTTATCTTGAACGTCGGAGCTGACATCCCGCAAATTGAAGTACCTATGGGAGCTGGAATTATGATCATCGCAGAAGCACATGCAGTAACTGCAATGCCAAAATAGCCAACGCCACCAACTGTCGACCTTCGTTGTACCTTGATTGCAGGTACCCTTCTTGCCGTACGTCCTGCCATTCTCGTACTCGACATACTCGTATCGCCGATCGCTCTTACTTTCCTGTTTCAATCATAAAGTTTCAATAATAAAGCATCATATCGTCAGTAATTTGCAGCATCAATATGTAAAACGTACGATGTACAATAATAACAAATTAACGACTCACCGACGGACATATCCACATATCCGAATCGACATATTGGCAGTTGACCAATTTTCCATTGCAAGGCCGCTGTTCATTACAAAACTGATTTTGGTAGCATCCGTATACCCTAGAATAGCTATAGTACTCGCAATTTTCCTTACACGTTCCTAGGGGATTCATATCAACTTCGTTTACAATATACCCTTGAACCATTTTAATGTTGGTAAAGGTACTCTCTAGAATATCAATCAAAGAGAGATAAATTATTCATCGTGTTATCGTGCCGATTGTTTATAGAAATAATTGAGAAATTGTTTTAACTAACCAGGCTTGTGCTTGCTAGGATCACACTTCCAAATATCCCTCGGCGCTATAGCCATAGCCATTTTTACGGCACGAAGCATTTCTGATGCTCTAGATATAGATTGTTCTTGTATCTCTTCCATTTCCTTTGTGAAATTACCTGTTTTTTTTTTTTTTTTTTTTTTTTTTTCAAAATTAATAGTATATTGATTCAAATTACTACTCGTAGCGTGAAATACTGAAAAGGAAACAATAATTATCCTCACCTATTTTGTAAAACTTTAAAAAAGTCAATGAAAATTGCATCATTGTGTAACCCTTGATCTCTATGAGAGCAATAGTCTTGTAAAGATTGTACAGTAGCTGCTGTGAAGACTGTTCCGTGTTGCATATTTGGTTTGACGCTTCCTATTCGAACAAGGCAAATCAAATAAACAGCAATTAATGATTTTAACGATCATCTTCGCGTCGTGATTTCGTATGAATATTAACAAAAATTATTGTTATTTTTTGCATGTGCGTCAAAAAATTAACCGTTAGGCGAAATAGAGGAACTTTCTAATTAAATAAATACAATGATTAAAGTAGAATAAAAACAAAAGCCTTATGATCGTTGATGCATAATGGATTTTAAAAGCGCGATTATATTTGCACCGAGCAATACCTTATAGGCTGACACGAACAATCTCTGATTAACAATAAAATCGGCAATTCTTTCTTGAGCTGGCGGTATTGAGGCGTTAGCGTCGTTCAACACAGTCTTTGCAAAGTTAGACCACTGCTTGTCATCGAGCGTTTCCTGCTTATCGATCAGATCTCGCTGCATCTTCCTAAAGGTCATGTAAATGCCTTCGATACTTCGCATTTCCGCCTGCGTACGTGCCCATAACCAAACCGTGTTAAGTACGCCGAGGTATTGCTCGAGATTCCGTGGGAACCAACGGTCTATATCGTCACCTATGTTCTTATATCTCTTCACGAGATTCAAAAGCGTTTCTTCCTTCCTATTAATGCTGGATTCCGATTCATGTTCATTACCAATGCGTAGTATTTGTTGGCGCAGTTCCTCAATTTGTATAAATTCCTTTGCAGCTGTTATCGATAGGACAGTCGCACCCAGTGATATAAGTATCACCGCCACTATTTTTATATCCATTTTCATAATGTTGACTTTATCGAGATCTTTGTTTTATACTGTGAGGTGAAAAAGATTTATTTATTTTACACGTTATCGGATCGACAGTATTGCGTTATGAATAGCCATGTTTGTTTTCCCTAAACATATTATTTTATTTATTTTATTTATTTTTTTCTTTTTTTTTCGTTTTTTTTTTTCTCTAAATTTTTGGCTCTCGTTAATTCTAAATTACGATTTGCCACGATTTATTCGATTAAACGAGCGCGAGCTATCATCGATTGAGATTACCGTAATTTTTATTTCTCTTCACTTTAGGCTTCCATAAAGTTCTTTAATTTACATTTATTTATACAACGAAACAAAAATATCTGTTGAAAAAAAAAAAAAAACTATTTCATAAATAATTGTCTGAAAATCTACTCAAATGTTCAAGAACAACAATAACAATAATGACAATAGAAAAACTACAACTACAACAATAATAACGGTACTGATAATAATGCACAGAATCAAAATGTAAATTAAACGTAAGCCGAGTGAAAATTTCCGAGCTATTATTACATACAGACGTATAAAAAGTAAACAATCATTTCGACCTCCTTTAACTTGTTCAATGGCCAAGGAAATTGTGGCGTATCGCTCCTAATTAGTAAATTATATCGAGTCGCAGGCTTTACAAAGGAATTCACTAATGTAGAGACACAAATGAAAAGCAATCGATAGGCACGACCTCGCGCTGTCAAATCGACTGAATCAGCTGTATGAGATAGCAAAGTAAGGAAAAAATAGACTCTTCCTCAGGCGTTTTCACAGATTGTCGATCGAGGTTGAGCGACAGCTGCGTGTTCGACTTACCGCGCGAATGACAAGACAACGTCGATGCGGGCTAAACTACTCCGGCATTAGGCGCACCAATAATAAAATAACGCAGACAAGCGCGCGTATACACGCGGCAATGAATTTTAATCGACAGCAATAAGTGCAGGTTAGTCTATTGCACTATCGGTATAATCACGGGACACTGACCGCTCCAAGAGCATACATAAGAGCACCGACACACTTTCCCCGTAATCGAAATATCGGCAAGATGTCGCGTTCCTTGAGTAAGAAAGAGCCAGCGTTGCTTGGCTAACTTTGACTGCGCAAGGAAGGACACTCTGCTCGTGTCGGACTCTCTTTCTCTCTTTGTTCTTACGCGCAAGTACGTGCTTCCACCACATCCACTCTATGCCTTCCCTCTCTCTCTCTCTCTCTCTCTCTCTCTCTCTCTCTCTCTCTCTGTGTGTCTGTCCCCTTTGATATGTCGGAATTTTAAAACACAGTCTGCTTGCTCCTGACAACGCAGCAGCGGCAATGACAATCGCTCGCCCCAAGCTGGCACAAGCCTCTTTATGACCCAGCTCTCTTTCTCCTTCCTATACTTATCCCCCCCCCCCCCTCCCCCTCCCCCTCCAACCCCTTCCTGCGTTGTCGCGCTCGCTCTATCTTTCTCACGCACGCTCACTTGATGCCCTTCATATTTCATCCCGCGATGCTTTAACAGCCTCATTTGCATTTTTTAAGACACCATTTAGTTCAAAAACTTTTGCTCGAAATGATAAAAATCATTTTTCAATATTGTGCCCTCTGCGTGTATATGTGGCCTCAACTTTTCCCATGCTCACTCTCTAATATTTGAAAAGTGAAATACACAACGATTTCTCAAAAATTCCTCGTCATACATCTTTTCTTTTTGTTAATTGTATTTGTCATTTGTCACGTTATAAATTGGTAATCATAACTACATTACATAATTTATGGTGCTTACGAAATCTGTTCAAACAATACCACATTATTAGCAAATTTTTTTTATATATATACACAAATCATTGATATTTGTGTTTTTATTGATATAATACCAAGACGCGGTATTTTGCGTATTGTTTTTATACTTTTGAAATACGTAAAAGTATATTAGTTATTTATTATAATTAATAAAGAATAAAATTGTAAATTTTACGATAAACTATTTAACTCTAGTAACAAGAAAAAAAAACTGCTGTAATACGCTACTATTTGCAAGCATCAAATGTTTGGAATGTGAAGATGTAATATGCGAGACCTTGTAAATTTGCTGAACGGATAATAATTCTAATGAAACAATCAACTTTTATAAAAACAAGCTTATTTATATTTGAACTTGAAATATTATTCATAAACATTTACTCGTATGAAAAATCTGCTAAAAAATTTTCAAATAGCTTAATTTGCCTTATTAAAAAATGCAAATAATTATAGCTTACTGACGACTAGTTTAATACATTTACGGGGGCAGATTCAAAGATCAATTATACATTTTATAATCGTAATTGAAACATTTGTTGATTATGTAAAAAAAAAAAAATTGTATATTAAAAAAAATAATAACATAAACTAAGATAACGTTTAACAAGTATTTCATACTAAAAGTATCGGCATTTTATAAAATTAATATATTTAAACAATCCATATGATTATTTAACAGTAATATACGTTATAAATATTTTTAACTACTATATTATACTAAAAATAATGCCATTTTTTTTTCCCCCAAAAATAATACGAATTTGTACTAATACAAAACAATAATAATACAATTGCCGTAAAATACTATTAATACTAGGATAATTTTTATAAATAATAAATGGAAAAATAGTGCGAAAATAGTATTCATGTTGTAAAATGATTTCGTTCTGTTTGAATTTAAGAAGATAGAGTTGGTGGAGAGGCCAAACATATATATTTCTGTATGTAACAATATATTGCAAAGCTAAGGCACATTGGACAAATAATTCTAAAAAGAAATCATGCCGAACACATAATATATATTTTTCGAAAAGACATAATTTATAATATTATGGTAAGTGGAAGGGATAATTGGATTGTATTTTTATTTTCGCGGGAATTGATGGGAGAATAATATTATTATAGGATATATAGGATGTATTGTGATCATTTGAAATTTATGAATAATGCACGTACTATCAACTTTATACGAATGAAGTTTCATTTGCTTGAAAAATATTTAGTCTGTGGTGTAGCCGGCTTATACGAGTCTTATATGTAAATAATATATCGATTAGCTCTCCCTTCACCGAGCATACAAAGAAAACCTTGCCATCCTCGTTCGTTTTACATCCGTTCGACATGTGGCAAAAAAAAAAAAAAAAAAAAAAAAAAAAATTATTGTCGTTTATTCTTTTCCTACCATTAAATTCGGAAGAACCTTAACGCTCTATTTATACCAAAAAATAATACGTAACAAGTTAAAAGTATAATACTGATTTGAAGTTAAGCGTAGTGGTTGGTTGTCGTAATTTTTTACAAACGTATCTTTAGCAGCTTAATTAACCATAGCATTAAGATTGAAAAATGTTAGATAATTCATAAGATAATTATTGATGAAATTGTAATAGAATGAGATTTCTGACTTTTACACGAGAATGAAAATAAGAGAATAGTCGTGACGATAAATTGAAAAGGGCCGGAAGGATGAAGGAGTGGGTCGAGACGAGACCACCATACCTTTATATGTTTAGCCAATAGATACAGGATACTGTTGTGAAAGACATTCTCATTCCACTGGGTAGGTACAACGATACGATGTATTATCTCAAGAATATTTGGTATGGCGTTGAGATTCGAGCTGAGTGTACTCTTTGCAAAGTCTTCCAAGGTGTATTGCTCGTATTTACTTGGTGAGAGAGAATACCTTATGAAATTCTGATATGCGCTATCAATCTGGTTGATATATTTCCAAAGATCGTTCATTCTACTGTCCAGCATCAATTTCTCTGGAAGTTTTGTTACGATTGTATCTAGGACGAAATTATTTTTGTTCTCGAAGTTCCTATCATAAAAGTCAATTTTGCGTGAAACAGCGTTGATATAATTTATCAACTGTTTCTCAAATTTCCGAACGGGCGGAAATTCCAGTTTTGCATCATGTTGTATGGGATAAACCAGTCCGTATATCTTTAGGGTATCGAAACCAATATCCTTGATTGTGTTTAATATGTCGGCCATATTACTCAATCCAAAGTCGAAGCAGTTTATGTCATTAGAGAGCAGTAGTAATGCGAAGATGAACAGGAGGACTCCAGACTTGGACATGTTTGTGAATTAGGTTTCCTCCTTCGGTTGATGCTCGTCACCTCCTCCCCTTTGGTCGGTTGGTCGGGGAAATAAACAAAAAAATTTGCGGTCCACACTTTTTTTTTTTTTTTTTTTATTTTATAAATTTACATAAAATGCAAAAACTCAGTCGCAAACGAATAAAGACGATTTGCCAATAAATGAATCGTAAATCGAAATAAGGAGAAATTATGGAATGTCCCGTAATATCTTCAAAATATAATACCTCCGTATTTATCGTTCAACGCACTGCAACACTACCCTCCTCGCTCTCGGTATGTTTGGTTATGTATTAGTATTGCGACGCTATTTATCCAAAGTAATACCCAACAATACTCTAGCACAGATTATAAATATAATATTCAACAGCCGACCGTTAACCTCACATCTCCTTTCCTACTCACTCTCTCTCTCTCTCTCTCTCTCTCTCTCTCTTCCTCTTCCAACTTCTTGCCGTACCCCCACCTTGGTTTAAGTTCACTCGACAAAGCTTCTTCGTAACTGTTCGTTGCGCCACCTATTCACAGACTATTACTACAGCGACATCTGCCGGCCTACTTTATTTTTTTTTTTTTATTTTTTTTCTTTTTTCTTTTTCCCCCATGTAAAATTAAGAATATTATACATTTACAAGAGCTCCTATCCGTTTGAAAGCAATTAAATATAATAATTACAATAAATTAAGGCTTCGTAAAGCTTCCGATTTCTTTGATGGGATTTTATGGGTGAACACGTAAGATCCTATAAAATCTCCTGTGTTGAGTTTCGTGTAAACCTGCTCGACAAACCCACACATATACGGGCAAATCAAAGTCCGAATGTTTGTTGAATGGTTCATCATTTATGTTCGACTGTGAAAAAATTCAATCGTCCTGAGTAATGTCGATCCGGTCTAATGAGAGATCTTCAATGTTGCACCACACACTCAAGCTCGAGCATATAAATATATGTTTTAATTAAATATTATAAGGGGGTAAAATTTTAAAAAGAAAAAAATATATATATTAATAAAATTTCGATGATTTTTATGTTAATAATGTATATAAATTACGATTATTCGGTATCTTACATAGTGGTCTTAGTGGTAGATATTGAATAACTTTAATAAGAAAACAATTTTTCATTAATTTATTTTCTCAAATTAGCTTCAATTGTTACATTGCTGATTTCTTTATATGTTCGCTTGTACTGATCGCGATGTACTATCGTCTTAAATAAATTATATGACGATAAAGTTAAAATCATAAGAAATAGTCAATTCTCAAATTAAAAATAATATCGAACCACTAGATTGATCATTTCTATCTTACCGTTAATATATATTATATAAAATAAATGGACAAAATCTTGTTTGACTACTACTAATTATCAAATAAGAAATAAGCTTTAGTTAATTATATACTCATACAATATGCAATAATCTCATTTGTTTGCAAAATATCAAGTGACAGTATTTTTAATTCTTTAAACAAATTATATTTTTCACGTATTAGGAGCTCTTTTATTGTTAAATCCATTATCACTTAATGAATGAAATGATGTCATTGTACATTATATAATGGATATTACACCTTAAGAATATTTTCAAATTGATTGCTACATATCGGATTATATTATTATCAACGTTAAGTATCTTAGTACTGAACGAAGAAACCAAAGCTACACAAATGCATCATTAATTTAAGCTTTAATATTGAATAACTCTCATCGTTTGAATTTTGAATTCATTTTGTAATGTTTGAAAAATTCTAATAATTCCATTTACTAATAAAATGTATATCCTTATTCAGATTTAACGTATTTTAATTTAAAATTAGTTAAACACTTACGTTCTTTAAGAAACAATAATTCAACGACATTAATTTTACCATCATACACGAAACTTTGTATTAATAATTAAACACAATACATTAAAATTACTAAAATATATTTCTTGTAAAACAACACTCGTAGATGACTGTTTAATTCCATTCTAAATTAAAATGGAATATCGCTGCTTTTACGTAAAGTAAATGAATAATAATTTTATATTACACTTTCCCACCTTAAAGTAAAGTAGTCATGAGCAATTGTTTAAACGTATAATATTATTAAACACGAATAATTATTTATTTTATAACATTTCTTTTTATATAAAATAATTATATAAATGTGTGGAATATAAAATAGAACAGTCTGAATGATAATAATTGGATTTTATAGTTGTAAAGAATGTATAAATTAGTTTATTTTAATACAAAATATATAAATATAATATTGACTACTAATACATTTTGTTAAATTATTTATTTAATAATTATTGATTAAATTCATTCTCATTAATATTAAAATAGTACATTTATGTATGCTATAATATAAAATTTTATATATACACACAAATATATAGTATATGTAATATAAAATATTATTTTATATTACATATACTTATTTTTGAGTTATAAGTATTAAAAGAATTTTACAAATAATTATTCCAATCAATTCCAATAATTTCCTACCTTATAAGTATATTATTATTTTTATATTTTTAATGTAAAAATTCAAATTATTTAATTTCATAAAAATAGATCTTCGTTATTTATATAGCCATTAAATATACATTTTACATAAATATAAATTGAGAAATTCAATTTCAATTTGACGATAATTGTACTGTAAACTCTTTAAAAAGATGCTTATAATAAATAGATTTATTTAATTTACTGTTTAATAATACCGAATGATAAAAATATTCAAGAAAATTATAACCAAACATTGGCTTTAATCATAAGCACTTGATAAAGAAAAATTGTTTCTCAAATTATTTCAAATTATTCATTATAGAATATTGTATATAGCGTACATTAGCTACTTAATGATCGTGTAAGAAAACAATTCAAATGGAAATTTTTCCCTTTTGAATTTCAATAATTGTTATGATTAAATAATTTTTTCGATAAGTGATTGGTAAAAAAAAAAAAAAAAAAAAAAAAAAAGAATATATATAAATAAA